TTTCCCGCTTTCCCGTTTCTACACCGCGTTAACCACCACCCTTGGAGACGCCACGGCGGATCTGCTACGTTTCAAATGTCCCGACAGTATCTCCGGCCGCATCCGCGACTATAAGCACGAACGAAATACACTCCACTCTCTGCGCGGCGGTTGCCCATTCAGACAGCGCGCAGTGGTTAGTTTCATTCACAGCTACCCCCACCCCCGTTTAATACGCCCGCGTGTTTTCGGGCGTGCGGACGGACGTAGCTAAACAAACCATACTGTACTTCAGGTCCAATTACTTGAAATCCAATTGAGCGGCGACGAATTCGCGCCTCACGCAAACGGAAAAAAAATCAAAATGTGGAGATATAATTTTACGATAAAATTGAACGAGAAGCAAATTTCATTGTCAAGGCGAAAAATCTCGTGCGATCTGCATTGTCATCGTGTCGTTTAATCGAAGACCGAGGATGATGTTCTTATTGGCGCCCTGTGTGACTTGCAACGATAAAATATCCCCGCTCGAAAAAACACGACGTGTGCTCGAGTGGCCGATTATAACGCGAACGATCGAGTGGAGATTGCAACGCCGATCGTTGATTGCCTCAGATGACTTCGTTATCTTTACACAAGTAATGATGATTTATATACATACTATTCGCTTCTCCTCTTAAAAACGAAACTCGGACACAATATCGCGCAACAATACCGGCGAGATATTTCGAGAATTTCCACGAAAACAATATATAACTGCTGAGCGAGTAGATAAAACCGAGCTTGAAACGCGTACACATTTTTCTCGCGGTGCACCTGCGTCTGATTATATCATACTGATATCTAACGTAATCTCCGCGTTAAACGACCATAATAATAGCGGATTAACGGGATCCGCGAGTGAATCGGGTTGTAAATTAAAAAGCTCGGCCGCTTTGCTCGCTTCGACTCGCGTCGACGCGGTATTGTACGTATCCGCATACGTCTGCTTTACATAAAGGGTAATTCCGGTTTGCAGCTGAGACGGAGCGAGTGTCACTGCTCGCGTGAACGGGGTAAAAATCTCTCTCAATGCCGCTATTGAGATGTGGCAACGCGCGAGAAAATACGTCGGTCATCGTGATTCTTGCTCACACCGGAGTCGACGTTCGGACACGCGCGAGAGCGCATGTCGGATATGCACCTCATTGAACCTGTAACGCCGTTCGCTCGTCTCTCCCGCGGGGGCATCGCGCGTAGACGTCGCGTCGTTGAAGAAGAGAACTAATCGGCGCGCATGCAAGGCGGACTAGCTGCGCGCCTCCTCGACGTCGCGCAAAACCAATAGTAAAACGCAGCTTAATAAATCGCCGTCATTTGCGTCGCGGACAGCAGCGATTAATAAAGTCATCTCGCGAAGCGCAGAAGCGGCGAATAGCCTAAGAAGTTGCTTTATTACGAACGCAAGAATTCGGCGGGATGAAAAAAAAATACGAAAAGAATTTTTCCACATTGAAAGGTCGTAATTATACGATGACGTTGGAAATGTAGCAAACACGATGCCGTCACACGAAGGAGAAGGACGTAAAAATGTTACCTCAAGGTAAGCGATTTTACCTCGCTTCGTGAGGCGCAGGTGGAAAGAAGTAAGGGAGTGGGAGCTGAACGCTCAGGGGGTTAATAAATCGACGGTCGCGCGCGCCGTGCAATCAAATTCGCTACGATCGATCTCCGGCAATCTACGCGTACGCGAAATCGAGAAGAGAGCGGGGCGGAAGAAGGGGTCCGGGAAGCTGCCGAAATTACAGCCATTATCGCGATAGAGGTGAGAACCGGCCGATGTTTGCTTAACCCGATCGAAAATCGACAAGAGGTCGAGCGCGATCTTTTACCTCCCCCCCTGATGTACCGATTCCGAGGGGGAAAAAGAGTTAAAGAGCAGCGAGAGGAGCGTCATCCCGAAAAATGGGCGGACTGCGCCGCTTAAGCCGCGAGTTAACGGGGCGTATCCCGCGAAACGGTGAAACCACGATTTATGATCTCACTTCGTCTGTACAGGGTGACTCTGTTGGATCATGCTCTCTTTTTGCTTCGTTAAATAAATATTATATGAATAATTAATAAAAGCAGCATTAAAAAGACGATAGGTTCGATATAGTTCCTGTATGAAAAAGTATTACCTATCAAAAATGTCGTATCGACTATTATTGAAAAAAAACACGATTACTGAGAGACACCTTGTATGTCGCTCTGTATCTTCTCATCTTCCTTTCGCAGCTTTCCCTCTTGCTTGCTCGCTCCTTTCATCTTCACTCGACGCACGTGGATTTATTATTTCTCGCAATGGTATTACACGGCGATCATCGTCGAAATGCAGGCAATGGAGCACTGTGCGTGCAGTTAAGGTTGAATGTCTTCCTCAAATTGTTTGCATTGCGCGCGGCCGACGACGTCGAGATAAAGCCTCTCTCTTCGCGCGCACTGCGAACGCAAACCGCACGCGTCCGCAAGGATATCGCGTTCGCGTTTTTTCCTCCCCCCTTTTTTTTATCGTCAGCCTAAGACTGCTTAAGAGTCGTTACGCTTGCAGCCTCGTTCCTGGCTTGTATATTTAATTATGTTAATTCCGATACGCGGTGCGAAAAATTAACGGCGCCGTTCGGTAAGCGGTCTATTAACAAATCATCCTGTCAACAATCCTGTAAATCGCGCGCGAAGAATAATTATCGCGGAATATTTTCACTCGCCCGTGAGAATAAATCTAGATTAATCGCTCTGCTCCGCTTTTAATTTATCCGCGATAATTACAACATCATTAAGGGAATTGCAGCGCGTTGAATTCATATGTCGAATTCATGCGTCGCGATCGAAGTCAAATCTACAAACGCTTTCGACATTTTGCGATAGGTAATACTCGAAATATCGTGCGTAATTTCTTAAGGACACTTACCAGAACGACCAGGGATTCCTGCGTGGCTGTGGCGCAAAATCCGGTCGAAGTGCTGCGTCTTGAATTTCCACAATAGCAGCACGGACGTTAAGTTCTCTTCAATGTCCAGCGAGTCTTTGTGGGGATCCACAGTTTTTCAGAATCGTAGATCTTGAGCGAGGATCCGATATGACGATGTTTGCGAGCGGCTCGTGTGAAGCAAAAATGAGCAAACCGCTGCACAAATTAGCCGACGGAACTTCTCGAGAGGTTATTGTCAACGTGTTTACTTTCCGAGATTTAAGCAAATGACGGACGCCGTAAAATGTCACGTAATCTTTTCTTCAATGTTCGAAAAAAAAATTGATGGAAAAATTCATTCGCTTTGAGCACTAAGAACTTTCGTCGAATTCTTAACGTTTTCAATGTTTTACTCGAAAACCGCACACTATTCACTTTCGATGTAAATCAACTGAAAATACTCTATGTTGCGTCGATGCGATGTCCTCCGGCGGAACGCACGATTATCGCGTGGCCGCTTCGCCGAGTTTCCAGGAAGATCGCTGACGGGCTTCCGCGAACTTTCTCGGCTCGCATGGATCACGAAAAGACCGAGCCGGGTCCCGGGACGAATTTCAAAGGCGACGCGCAACAGAGCGTCTTCGCACGGCACGCTTACAACACACTCGAGAATGTATAAACACGAACAAACGCGTTGACACGGGCGCGCTTCTTCAGTTCCGAGTAACTCGAAGATCGCGGTCACGAAGCACTCGTTTCTCACCGCATTAACGAGAGGGGGGAGGAAGATCGCGGGTGAAGGAAGCGCAACAGGCGGATTATCGTGGAGTGTAAACGCGCACCGCTTCTTGCTCGTTCTCGCCTCTAGTCGCCGTTCCTCCGCGCGCCGAGAGAAGCGCGAGACGCATAATTTGCGCGCATTACCGCCGAGATATACGATGATCCCGAGAGGCCGATCGGACTATACGTTACTTCCTTCCGATCGCGTCTTGGAAATGCTGCCCTCCGGCTCCGCGCGCTGAAGGGAGAGGCCTGAATCTTGTCTTTTCGTAATTATTCCTCTCCGTGAATGAGGAATCGCTCCGTGCGCTATCTCGACGACGATAAAATAGCAATTGACGAACGCGCTACGTCGATGCCCGACGTGTCGTTGGCACAGCACCGCGTCGAGAGATGATCGATGATGTTGAATTGCGCCAAGTGCCGCTGGCCGTCATTGTCAATCGGGATTCAGCCGTCATCGACCGTCTTTAAGTCGTTTTTTTTCTTCGAATTTGCGTCGAAAATTTTTCCCACGTCTTTCCGTCGGATATCTATTTCGTGATAGCCGGTTGTGCCGAGTCGGAGAAATGTGTCCTTATGTGATAACAGGATTTTCTTGAACGCGCGATCGGCTCGACGAAATTGCCGATAATGGACGCGTGTCTGGCGGCGTTTTCTCGCTTTTCCCTTTTTCCCTCGGTCGCGTGGAAAGAGACAGCAACCGCAGGCGCCGGTGCTCACTTCCTCCCGCGAAAAAATCACTTCTCAAACGGTCCCGTCGGCGCCGGTTTATGTAACCATGCCAAAGAGTACTCGCGTCGCGTGTTCCTCGCGATGTCGCGACTCGATTGCAGCGATGCGTTGACGCAATGCGTACACATGAGAGATTCTTCGCGGTCACGTCCTGCTTTTGTGCCTCTTTTTTCGAAGTCAAAACGTAAGGCTGATACCTCGAAACGATCAACGCGACAACGCGATAATCATACCGATAAAAGCATCAGCACGGCACTTTACAAGTACAACAAGCTGTCCACTCGGATTTCGATAATCAAGAACCGCACTATCCTTTTGTTTTTGTCCTTGGCAGTCCTTGCACTAAATACGCGGCACTTTTGCAAAACTTCACCTCATCAGTGGAAAATTACTGCGACTCTCTACCGAATAACGAATCATCGACTGGTGCGAACCAATTCCGAACCCCGTGAAACTCGTCCTCGAAATGGCGAGAAGCGAGAATGGTGTTCACGCGGAAATCAGGATTAGCACTGACTCGCTCCGTCGGAAGCGGCACGGCAATAGCGGCGGTGCCGGTACCGCCTGGTCCTCCCGCTGCGTGCGCTGCAACGACTTCTCGGGGTGCGAGTGTCTCGGCCGGGATGAAAGTCGGCTACGATCGCAAGTGATTGTCTTTTACCGATATATTTTTCAGACGCGCAACAGACTCTCTTTACGAGTCCGGCGAGGAAACAGATAAATGTCCAATCCGTGACAATTTTTCGTAGCGAAGCGATTGCGGGAAAGCGATCCCGTACTTTGACCGTGCGATTATTCGATCCGAGCCAACGACGATTGCCAGGGACTTTCGATCGACGTTCCTTCGACGCGATAATCCTCCGTGCCAAGTGTTAGATCCGCAACGTTCAACGGGACGTGTCGCCTGTTGCTCAGCTCGGGGTGGGCCGCTCGTTCCCGCTCGCGCGGGGATGGCGACTCGGCGAACGACGATGTGTACTCCTGCGATCGTGACCAGGTCGGCGGGACGATGCATGGCCATACGGCGACAACACCACCGTGAGAGCACCGACGACGACCGTCGCTGACTGGCCGAGGCGGCGCAGCGCGAACGAGAGCGAGCTGTGTTGCGTGGCTTGCGCGCGTTGCGAGTGCGATGTGCGCTGTCCGTGCTCTCTCGCCGGTCCGCCGTACGATACGAACGCATCAGCATCGGTCTGTTCCTCACCACCGCCACCACCACCACCACCAGACGGGAACCCCAAAGCCCGGCACGTCGCACGCTCCCACTCTCCCCGCGCGCGGCACACTTCCCCACCATCGTCGCATCGTCAGGATGCCAGCATCCCCGACGGCAGGCTCCCGCCGACATGCGAATAACAGGCGAATTTTTCGGCCGGTTCCTGCGACGCGCGCTGTCTACCCTCCCGAAGCGATATTTTTCTCGCGCGAAAGCGCAATGCGATGTTAATACTTGGCGATTCCTCAAACAGCATGAATCAATCATAATTCAATATAATTATTATGTAAATGATTCGATTGCACAATTTCGCGAAATTTGAGTATATTCAATTTTTATTCCGAGCGATGATTCGACAAAACACTGCAAGTCAAGTTCACTTTATCGTCGCGAGACGGTACACTTGTTGAATATTTATTTGCTCTTATCTATGCTACAATAGCGAACATTTCCAAGCGAGCAGTAATCTGAGTTTTATCACGCTATGCTTGCTATGCATGCGCATGTACATGAAATATCATTTGTCGATGAGTGGAATCGAAATGATAAATTTATGTAAAATCATGTTCTTCCACGACAAGCACTTATGCTAAATAATACACGATTAACGTAAAATATAAGAACACATACTTGTCCATGATAACGCTATTTTTGCAGCTTCGGTATGTATTGTCATTATTTTTACCCAATATATCGCAAATGTTACTACAACTGTAAACATAACGCGGTTTTTCCCCGAAATCGCAAGACCACAAGATTCCTCACGGAGGCTTGTTTTCGAACCAATGCCTGGCGTGTTATTTTTTAAACGCAGACTCCTAATTCTCGCACCGCCACTGAATTAATACCGCACATCGATTATCTGCGATAACATCGCCGCTCGCACCTTCGAATCCGCCATTCGCGTCGACAATATTTCGTCACGAAAACGAAACTCACGACACCCCAACGCGATTTCGTGGTCCTCCCGGGCGCGAAACCGCCAGGTTCGACGCGCTCCGATCGAGCGGCCTGGATGCACCTGCGGATGAACGACGCATAACACCCAGGACCCCGTGCATAAAACACTCCCCCCACTCTTCGCGCGGTGGTGAGACGACGTCAGACCAATCTCCGGCCACGCGAACCGTCTTAAACTACTTATTTCTTCGCGAGTCGCTTATCTCGATCCTGAAACGGAGATCGACGTACGAACGCGCCTTACGCGCTCGCTCCCTCTCGCTCGCGCTAAAAATACCGCGAAAGATTGCTACGTAGAGGCACGCAAATTACCACCTGCGCTTAATTGCGGCGAAATTACGCGGGATTTAATTTTCGTTAAACTCGACCCGCGCGTTTAGTTGGCGTCTCGAAAGCTGATATTCGCCGGTGACCATTAAACGGTGTGCCTACTTGCGCAGAATGGATATACCAGTTAATGACGGGTCGAGGAATATTGTTAGATAATTAAACTGTTTCGCACGAACGTATTTATCTTTACGAGGAAAGTACTTGATGATGAAAGAAGCACGTTAATTGACGAAATCAATAAATAAAACTTTAGAGTTCGCAAATATCGAAGACATTATAATGATTAGCTATTATTCGTTTCCACTTACCTGCCTCTTTATTGCTTTAAGAGATTGGCATAATCTTTGCTAGCGCATCTATTAAAATTACAGCCGTGTTAAATCTTCACAAAAAGCGAAGGTACGTTCGCGCTTGAACAAACTGATTTACACTCATTTACTTGTGGAATTATGACGGCGTCTTTAACGCGAATAAAAAGTCACCGTGCGATGTTAAGCGTCGTCGATGCAGCGCTAAGTATCCGTTCGCGTTTGACGCCACGATGGCGCGAAGAAGGACATAACAAAATGAGTCGTAAAATATGACACAGCCCGTAGCGCTTCCCCTGTACATGCGCGCAATCGATCTCGCCGGGTATTACGGGGGGTTCTTATCTCATCTTTGGAACTCGTTTAAGACCCGTTTCGGCACCTTAGTTCTCGCGATTGCGTCCACTTCAATTACGGACGCTCTTGTTCCAAGAATGGACACGTCCGCCGTGGAATTTACGGGTCCTGCCAATTTTACTCCTGCGCTTTCGCCCCAAACAAAGCCGCAAAAGCGTCCTGATACAATGCCTAACGAGATGCGTATTATATTTTGCAAATATCCTTTTTCTAATAAGAAAAATAACTCTTAAAGGAATCAATATTTCTGTGTCAAACATATTTAAATGTACACAATGGGATGTTGTGCCACAGCTTTCGATTTAACCTGCAGGCATCTCCGCCGACGATTGAACGATCCCTGCATCGTGCGAAAGAGTGGCTCCGACGATCGAAAGCGAGGCTAGCCGCGATTCGTGACTTTCGCGTGTTAATTTGGCAGGGTTTGCGTGCCGCCTGTATACTTAGCCGCGTAGATAGGCATGCACTTAACACCTGTGAGTCCGCGCGACTCGCGATAAGTATACGCTGGCCGGCACCGGCCGCTCACGAGAATGGCGTGGTAGACGTGGGTATCTCATGCGAAAGAGAGAGGCGTGTATATATTCATTCCGGCGCAAAGCGGCGGCGGCAGGTTCCGCGCCCTAGGTTCGATGGGGTGTTAAGTTCACGAAGCACGTTGAGGCACCGGATGTTTCGTGATGCGTGCACGACCCTAGCTCGGCTGCTGCTGTGGCGAGCGCAAAGTTGTGAACATTAACGCGTACGTGTTGACGCTAAGCGAAGTGCGCGAGTCGAATTCCTCGCGATCTTGGAAACACGCGATACAAAAGCAACGCGAGTACCGGGCTCGACTCGAGCCGTCAATATATCCAATGTGCACGAGGTCTCGCGATCATATCAGACCTGTATTTTTAAAAGTTGCTTCAACACATACATTTCTTTTTAATTTGTGATTTGATAATATTACGCAGAATTTATTATATAATTTATGAAAACTTGACATGCTAATATTAATTTGAATAATTACGTTTGGCATTTTGAAATAAAAACAAAGTCAAATTAGAGTTAGTACTATAGAAATTAAATTTTAAAAACTTGGAATGAAAAATCATTATTAATATACGCAGTCTTGAAATTTAAAGAAACATCGGTAGCTGCGTGAAGCGTATTGATATGCGTTGCAACCGCATTCCGACCTGACGAAAATACGCGGTCATAGAAATTTTTGTTTCTCGGTCTTCGCCGAAAGTGTCGAGCCATGAATATTCAGGAAACGCACGATGATAACTGCATTTAACACTCCACGTACGAAGCATATCTTAGCAATGATAATGTCCATGTGCCATATCGTCTCATGACTCGAGATGTTTGTTGTTCGCGATGCTATCCGAGTGTAGATATTTTATTCGTGGCATCGATATTAAGTAGATAAAAGTATCGAGACTTTATTAAATTAAACATCTGTGTATCCAAGACGAACACCCGCGACGTGAACGCGAGATTTCGCTCTATCTCTCTCCCTCCTCGGCGCGATAAAATCCGACTCACGTACGACGGATCGATAAACTATCTGAGATCGCGCGCAGATGAACCGGATAAAAATCTACGTAAACAAATCCACATGCCGGTGAAATAATCGATCGATCGATACGTCGTCGCACACAACGCCATTGTTTACAATGATTATTGAATATCTTTAGCACGTTGCAACGTTGCCGATGGCTAGATGTGTTTAATAAATAGCGACGCACATTTAGAATGCAAGGAATTTGTCGCGCGATAAGATTCCTTTTTTTTCTTCACTGGGTTGCAAAAACAAGGGTGATTGATCGAGCGAGCGTCTGTTTGTGATCAAATCCTGCAGTTATGATAATTCTCATCGATAAAGTGCATCGACTTTTTCTCGTGTTTGCAAGATAGAGATGCTCTCGTATACATATCGATCTAAGAAACGATTTTATTAATTGCTGCCGATCTCGAACTAAGAATTAGAATGCAGTGTTCACTGCATATTAATGCGTCAGGAATATCGTATAGCGTGGACGATCTCTTACCTGTTCTTTGCCTATGCAAGGCACAAATTAAAATCGGAGATGATCGTTTTGATATGCCAATGAAAGGTTACGCTTACAACGTGAAATCTGATCGTTCGCGGCAGAACGAAAATATGCCGGCTGCAAACGTCATGATTAAAGATTTTAGCTGCCGCAGCGAGTGAAACACTATCAGCCTTAGGCGCATAGAGCCTTTTATAACGAAGAGATAATTTTATGAAAATATGTAGGATAAATTAGGGCTATTTCAAACACAGGGCAGTTTTGATCAAAATGAGTGGCGGAACTAAATTATATAATCGAAATTAATTAATCATTATTCATAAGTAAAATAGCATAGATTTCATCATTATTCGCAGTAAAATAGCATAGATTTCTATAACTTTGATCTACATAATTTTATTTATTTCACTAATTAATATCACGATTTTATTATAGTTATTATTAGCATCTATTAAAATCGTATATTTCTGTTTCTTTGTGATAATCATAAAAAATCTTAACGTCTACGTGAATAATAAACGAATGGATTCGAGGAATGTAACGGCGTTTAATTATATGACTCGACATTGGCTCTTATCGCGCTTCGAGTTTCAAGTTCGATCGCTACGCGATTGCATAGTCTTTCTACACGGCGCCTGCCTATTCTAACTGCAATCTTGCGGTCAGCATTCGCGGCTATGCAACAACTTATTATTGCCTCTGGTGCCGAGCGATTTCCTCGGCCTTCCGACAGACCGATGGAGGCGATGATGAGAGCATCGGGGCTAATTCGCGAAACGGTGTCGGATGCATCATAGAGCTCTCTCTCTTTCTCTCTCTCTCTCCCGATCTCCGAGGAAGAGTCACGCCCTCCTCGTTACCCCGGAGGGCCTGCCCTCCCTCTCTATCGTCCTCCCGGCGATAATATCTCGGCAAATACCGACCCGGAGAACCCTTTAGCATCGGCCAGGCTGCCGCCTGTGCGCGTAATGCCCTAAAATTAAACAGCCCACGGCGCCGGGGGCGACCTGCCCGTCACCCATCGTCGTGTCCGGTTCTCCTTGCCACGCTGACTGGTCCCCGTGTGATAAATAAAGATAATCCGAATGTCGAGGACACGGAGAAAGCGCCGCGTACACGATCTCGGATCTTTTCGATTTAATTCGAATAAAGGGCCGGGTAACTGTCGCTGTAATATAAATCTGCATTTTTCTTGGACAAAAATATTCTACTTATAGTATTAAATTATGCTGAAACATATCCAACAAAAAAATCATGTAATACGAAGCATCTGTAATTTTGACGCTCGCAATATATTTTTCTCCTTCAATTAAGACGTTCGCAGCGACAAGTGATCCCTTATTTTTCTCATCGCGCCGCTAAAAAGATGGCACCAAAGGAACCGCGTTAATAATGCCGAGCTGCATTCACAGACGAACCTCAGCTGCGGCGTATCGCGAGCAAACGAAGACGGAATTCAGCTGGCAGTTCGCGTGACGCTGTGCGTGGCGCCGGCGTCATGTAGAGGATGTCACGAATTTAGCGACGTCGACGGCGGTCGCCGCCAGCCGTGAACGCACTCACTTCGTCTCGTGCGTGCATCCTAATAGATCCACCGGCGCGTATGCAGATCAGTTCTTTGCATCAGAGACGATGCATTGCAATGCGCGATGTTGGCATAGTCGAGCGTGTAAAGCACGTGATGTCCGAGCAGGAAACATACGTTGAGATTCATCCGACGCGACACTCTCTCCGTTAGTCGCAATTTATGTTTGTTGTATTTTTATTCGTGAAGACGTATTAAAATTAAAAGCCGATTACGACGTACGATTATGCGAAATGTTGTCGCACGTCGTCTCTCGAGAGACGACATCAAGCGTGATCTGCGTATTAGGTAAAAATAAATCTCACGAGTCAGCTGCTCGCGATGGGACCGGCAGCCGTAAGCTCTTCGGCAATAATACGACAGAGAATAGCGAAGGCTAAACGCCCATCTAATAGAACGTCGGCGAAGAGCGGCAGTGACAGATTATTAGCCGGGGCATCTGCTAATGCAGATCTCCGTCGCTTTTAAAGTGAGAACCCGGGACCACCGTTTGTCCCGGCTGAAAATTTACACCTGAACCTTTCAGATAGCATCTCCGACGTATTGTCGCTTATTCGATATCCGATACGAGATCGCTTCTCGCTAGGGCCGTCGCTGTGTGCTCGAATTTATAGCGACGCATTATAACTCCGCCGTTCGACTAAAAAACTTTTACGTAGCAGAAAGAAGTTTAATAATGGAAAAATAATCATAACGCTTGGTGCAGTTTTTAAAATATTTTTTATATTTATCGAGAGATTATAAGATTTTTTTAAATCGCAACTGTAATCATTATTTCTTATCAGCAGTACGCGTCATGTTACACTTATTGAATGCGTAAAAACTTGTTTATAATTTTTCGTAAGCTGACTTTCAGATGAAGCAAAAGGGTTTAACTAAACGACTTTCGCGATTTTTCTTTCGCGTGTGAGGTTTCGGCGAGAGTTCAGCTACGCACCGGAACGGACCAGCGACATAAATCAGGATCATTAGGGAATTGGCCGCGCCTTTCACGATTCCTAAGTCGCTTCTTGTGGCCGTCATCGAGATTTACGCACCATAAAAATCTGTAACGCCGCGCGGTTACCCGTTTTTTCTTCGGCCGCTCTCGCTCAGTGCGACCGCCTCTTAAGCCGCGCGTATTGTAAATTATGAAGGGCAATCGGAGAGAAACGTCTTCTTCATCACCTTCGGTGACACGCCGAAAAAGAGTTATAGTGCAGGTTAACGGTGATTCTTAATTTTACGATCCGGTCGATTAGTGACGAAATGGACAAACTTCTCCCTGCATCGTCGTATTGTATTGTAATATATCGCTCAATTTTATCAGCTCGTAAATCGCGCAATTCAACCGTCGCGTGGGTGTGCCTGCGTACTGGAGCGGAATATCCGCACCCGTCTGTGAAGTGAACATGGCGCCTTGAATACGTCAGCCCTCTATAGTTAGCCCACACGGAGATCTAATTTTCGATAATAAAATTAGAGATGCAAAACTAATTTGGTTAATGTGTCCTGCAATTACGGCTTTCGAAATTTCGTCGAAACCAGTTTCCGTGACGGTTAACCGCTGATCGTAAAAACGATTGTCTGCACCGATACGGGGTTTAATCGCTTCAATTTTCAATTCTCGATTCTCTCTCTGTACAATGCATATTGACTTTTATTTTTATTATAATTGTTCTAGCGAAAAATACATATTTTTGTTATTTTTTTCTAATATTTATTGTCAGATAAAAAAGTGCAAAGATGTACGAAAATTGATATTGCGAAGATTTTTGTAACGCAATGCGTTAACTTCGATTTGCGTTCGCTCAAAGTCTGCGTTGCATCGAAATCGACTCGAGTTCACCTCTTGACTTTGATATCCGCGAAGTATAGACGTTACGATTAGATGCTGTTGAAGACAAAAAAAGCCATATACATACCAATTGCGATACATGCAAATCGCGAAAAAAAGCAGCAACTACGGTTTTTTTTTACGTACGTGCAACGACGGAACACATTAGTTTCGAGGACGTCCGGCGCCAGCGTCGTATAATATCGGTTTTTCCCGCACTTCGACGCTATAATACTTCGCCGGACAATGAAGTTGATGCAAATGATGAAACACTAAAGACGCATTCTCGGCTTCGTGACAGACATAACCGATGCCCTTTTCCTTCATTTTTTCGAATATTTTCGAGAAAACAACTTTAATCGTGGAATTAATTGATGCAAACATGCTAACTGCATTTATTTACTTGCGATTTTCAATGAAATACTGGACATATTATCGGTATTTATAAAGTAATTTTGTAATTATAGTTTAACGCTAAACAAATCGCTATTTCTCAGTTTCAAGAATCAATATTCTCAATTTTTCTCAAACTTGAATATTTTTTGTGAATAATTTATCACTAAGATATGAATAAATCTATCTAACATTTAATTTATCGATTAAGAAGCTAAAATTATGAAGCAAAACAACATCCGTTTTGAAATCATTTCATCGGACATTTTTCTATATCTCGGCACCCGACTGTTTAACCCTTTTCAAGACATTAATAAGTCGACCGAGACCGCGGTGCGTTCCTACCGTTGTGTCCGCTTTCGAGGCACGGGCATAAATTAATGGTACGTGGCACGCGTGTAACGGAGAACTTGTGTCGCGATCGGGGAGATTAGGAGGATTATAAGACGACCCGCCGCCACGTCCGATTTTCTCTGCCGTTCGATTTGGGAATGGAGGCGCGAGGCCCGGCATCGGCCGTACGTCTT